CATGCAAAAATGGATTCAAAAACAACAGCCAACTCGTCTCCTGAACACAGATTTCAACAAGCTGCTGGGAAAGCCAATGTTCTCCGTCCTCTGATGTGACAGCCCAAAGTGAATTCAGCTAGGCCGAAATGTTTCTCAACTAGAAAGTTCGAAGCTATCCAAAAATTGCGAAACATCTGCTTGAACGTTTGGCCCGACCACGGCCAGGGTCTTGCTGTGGGAGCCAAAACACCAAAAGCTTAGTCCCGCCCTCGGTGCTGAGGTCAATGTCTCTTGTTTTTGGGTCTTGCACTCCGAGGATGCAGAAATTATGTTGTGGCCCACGTCAAGTCACATGGAAGGAGAAGGCTAGCTCGGCTTGCTCTCTCGTTAGGTACAACAGCTCAACCACTGGCAGTAAAGCTCCCCAATCGAAGGGGAGACAACCTGCTACTGCTAAGGGCAACCAACCCCAAAGCACACTTACCATCACCATGCGCTGAGGCACTTGCTGTCGCATGGCCGCGTGGTGATGAGAGCTTCTGCTCATGCAGCTGGTCCACCACGCCAACGCTGGAACTACTTCAACTGGGCACAAGCCCAACTTTGGCCAAATGCAGAGGGCGCCCTTTTGATCCTTTGTTGGAGAACCACCAGTCGTACATTGACCAATTCCAGGTGGGCCTTACAATCAGTTTGCGGAGGCCAGCGGCTGACTGCAGCTGAAGAGCTGTCTCCCAATGTCCCTTGCTTTGGCGGGCTCAGCCTGCCTGCGGCGTGAAGCCTTTGAGAAAGAGGCGGCATTCTGTAGCATGATCGGAACTGCTAGCCCTCCAGCGCAACTTATTGCAGCAGGCTTGCTCTTTGGTGCTCTTCCTCCTGCCTCACAATCTCACCTAGCACCGGTCGCTTAAAGTTCACATAGCCCAAAGGACGCCAACTTTGGAAATGGCTCTGGATGCGATTGTCTCCGTTGTCGAGGGATCGCCCTCACCTGCCCTGATCTGCGAAAGGTGTTCTGGGAGGTGGATGTTCAACAGGTCACCAACACTTTGCGCTGCAAAGTGAAGAACTGGAGCAGTAAATGAATCCGATGGAGCTGGTGGAGGTGCCGCTGTCGAAGAAGGTTGATCAGCCGGCATAGCCTGTCCCCGGTCAGGAGGACCTTGTGTCGATCGTGTGTCATGGTCGACCCTGGTCCATGCAGCACCATCCCACCGTGATGAAGCGTTGTACAACTGCTTCTGGAACGCAGCAGGGGAAGAGGAGCACCAGACGCCCTGATTAAACCCTGCAAGCCCTAGCTGAAAAGCTTGCGACCGTCCCGTTTCACCTGGCAGGTGGACGAGCGTCGAGTCCTTGCGACAAAATGGTAGCAAACGATGAATCGATCGATCTACACGAAAGTCGACTGAACAGTTGTCACGAGAGTGCTCTGCAAGTCCCAAAGCTACCTTACCAAAACTTGCCAACGGCAACGTGCGCCACTTGAGGCATGAGGTGGCAGATCGATTCCTGTTTGATTCTGAAGCCGTTTCTCGGACCTTTACCTGCTAGCTACAAGAAAACATTACATAGTACAAGGTTGTAAAAAAACTGAAACTGCCCTCATCCTCGAGCCTTGTCAGCATCCAGCAAAAAAAACGTTGGGCTTCAATCTTGGAGAGTCCAGGTCCAAGGAGTCCAAGGCAGCAAAACAGTGAAGGGGAAACAAGGGGAGAGAGAGATTTTGTGTGTTTGTGTGTACGGAGGAGTGCAAAGTGGATAAAGACCAAGCAGCATGCAAACATATAATATATATATATATAGTGTAAACTTGTTCGAACTAAGGCTGCAAATGTCAAGCGTCTCTCACAATCTTGATGACAAAATGTGCAACACTACAGCTCCAACAGTGCCGGAAAGAGAGGAAGTGAGGACGTGCCTCAAAACAACCAAGAAATTAGAGAAGACAAAGGTCATTCTCCCAAAATGCCCCAATCCTTTGGGATTCGCGTAGGTATTTTTTCATTATGCTCACTAACCCAACGGAATCAACAAAGGATGGCCTGACTGAACTCGGGCGGAGCTGGTCAAGTGCTTGAATGAAACTCCGGCACTCAATTCGAGGCTCGCACTGCTGGAGGAGACTCTAAGCTCTCCCCTGGCAATCTCTAAGTGGTGCCGAAGTCAAGTTGCAATCAGTTCTTGTGTATTGCAAATACTTCCAAATCATCCTTTTCGAATGGCTTGGCAAGTGGACAAATGATGGGATTGAAAGTTCTGAGCACCGCTTGCCTTGAGGCCTACATCCTCTGGAGCCTGGTGTTTGCGACACCTGAGCAGATCAGTAGAAAAGTTGGTGCAATAAGGCGGTTCAAAAGCGATTCCCAAAAACGAACTGGCAACACGCACCATTCAAGCAAACACACTGGCGAAACGTTTCAAAGCTTGCAGCAATTGAACAGTGGCTAAAGACTCGCTAACTTGCGCAAAGCGCAGCTGCTGAGGTTCCGGCCGAATTCAGCATCCAATTGTGCACATCACTGCAGCTTATGCGTTCAACACAAATCACTATAGGTTCATAGATGCTGCACCGAGGGCTGGCCTATTTCACTGTGGCAGCCCAGCATGTCAGCTTACTGCTACTGGGGTCTCAACGACTGACTGAAGAACAAGCTAACAAGCTTAGAGATAACTTACAGGAGCTCTGACTTTGCATAATTTCTCCAAGTTTGGGTTCAAGCTTGATAAATAGATGCGGCAAACAGCCAGGCAAAGCAGGAAATCAGTGTGTATATACTTGAGCTTGCAGGATGCCATTATGGAATTCATGAAGAGCAGAAACGAAGACGCCAATGACAGGACATGTCGCTTTGCGGCAACGGTCCAAAGCGTCAACCTGAGTGAAACTGCGCGTTTCAGAGCCAAGACCTCAGAGCTCTCACAGTAAGCATCTCGGCCTGGAAGTGCTTCTGTCAAGGTGTGGTGACCTCCTGTCCTGAAAATGCCGAGATCAAGGCTCCGGCCCACAGCTTCAAGAGTCTTGCGTCTGTGAAGTCCTGAGCTCCGTCGGTGACTGTTCGCAGAAAAGCAACGAGTCACATTGAAAGTCGGTCATTCCACATTCCACACAGATTCCACGTGCTCAGAACTGAATAACTTCGGAGGCCTCTTGATGAAGGTTCGGCCAGATGCCTTGAACTCCTGTTGACATAGAGAAAGAGCATGACGGTACAGGTGCGGGCAAAAAAGATCTTTCTGTCGGATATAGATGCCTCGACTGCCTCCACGACAGCTTTCTGCTCGGGAATCCTCGGTCCACAAACGCATTTGGTTTGCTCTACGTTTCCTTGGCCACCTTGGCCGCCTTGGCCTGGTTCACTTGGCATGACTTGGCCACAGACTCTCCACGCTGGAGCAAGTTCGAAAAGGAAACTCGGCCCCGCCTACAGCAGTTTGCTTCGCTACGACGACAAACTGTTTTGTTTTGCCGTCTCATTTCAAACATCACAGTGATTCGACCAAGATCCCGTCTTCTTCAAAGTGTCAGTGTCCCCTTCCGGAATGTCCAAGGCCTGCAACTTCCAATTGACAGGACTTATTAGACTTATTAGGAATGCGACTCTGATCTCCGGTCCTGGCCTCGGTGAAGTCATCCAAATCATCGATGACTTCTTCCAGGACTGAGGCACCTTTGTATTGGTCCATTTTCGCAGCATGGTGTGAAGACTCAGGGATAATGAGGGATGAGGATTCAGGCCCATTTCTTGGCACCACTCATTCGCTGCTGGCAAGTGCTCCTCCGCAGCTTAAATTGATCAAGATTACAGGATCATCACACACACAGACTCGACTGTGGCACTTGTCTGCCTCAAGCCCCATCCGTGAAAGCCATAGCTGCAGCCCAGGAACTGCCTGATGTCACGCGATCACGAAAGGTCTGGAGGTCTCACAAATCCCCTCCAACAATAGAAAGAAGAACCGGATTTCGGATCCGACCTCCCCCTCTATGGCTCGAGGTCCCAATGGTGATGCTGGTTCGAAGCCTGTCAATGTTGGCATTTCAGCGGATGGGATGTATGTTCATTGAAAAATCAGCGAACAATCGCATGAAAACCAACTCCAAAGCAAAAGTCAAGCATGTCAGGAATTCCATATGCAGGTCTGAAAGGCGGTTCACCGACATGTACATTGGCTGTGACTCTCGAAGTACCTCCCAGGTGGCCCACAGGGTCAGCTCATTTGGAAACCCCTGGAAGAGCATGCAGTGGGAGGTTCTCTTACATGTTTGCGAGAAGTGAAATAGGTTTTGTCCAGCTAGGAATCTGGCAGACTGTGGGCATTAATGATTCTAAAAGAAAACTTTTGCAATATGACATTCAAAGTAGAGGCGTGGGCCTCTTCTTGAAGCCTTAGGATTTTAGGCTGTTTGGACTCTCAAGCACTTCCAAGGTTCCAAACAGCTAAGGCTAAGGTCCCTGCTAGACTGGATGGAAGCATTGCACTAGTCCAGCCTTTGCCACAAGCTCTTTGGCTATTAATTTAGAGTGATCTCACCCAGTTTCTTTCAGCCCAGTCACAACGGCCATAGGTCGTCAAAACCAGTAGGCCAAATGTTGCCTTGGTAACACCAAGATGAAAGCTTTCGTCTGAATCGGCTTGTTGGAAACAAGAGCGTTGTCCTATAACCCCCATAATATCATAACCCCTTTCTGCCACCTTCGTTGATGTCGTGGAATGCCATAATCACACGTCAATGAACTGCCAGGATTCCAAAAAAGTCTCACGGCTTCGACCTCGAGTGAGAGGCGGGGCTCATTGCAAAGTACAAAGACCGAAGCAAGTATCTGTGTGTCCAAAAATCTTCTTTCTCCTACGCAAGGTTCCTCACGCTTGTGAGTCTTGTGAACTCACTACCTGACCACCCGACTGCGGAAAATGGTGGATAGGACATTGCCCATCATAGTCAGGCAGCGATGAACTCACAACATCACATTGACTCCAGGTCACTTCATGCCCGGCTATGCATATATGAAATACTATGCAATTGCAAAGTCAAGAGAAAGATTAGCATCCGCCTTGAATCTGTATGGGAAAAGAAGTGGTGACAATTTCACCCGCAGCAAGTCCAAAACCCAGACTTGCCAAACTTGTCGCAAGAATCGGAATTCGAGGCCCCGGTAGAATCCGCGAAAACCGCCACCGGAGCTGTAGATTTCTCGGCAGGTCTGTGCGAAGCTGCCGTACGTCTTACGCTCAATATCACCCTGCATGCACGTCTTTGCCTCGAGTCATTGGCACTCCATTGGACCCGTCTTGAAAGCTGTCAAGAGTGCAATGTGCCTAAAGCAGCTTGTTTACTAAGCCAGGTACAGTATCAAACCTGAGCTGACGGAGCAATTCATGGTGCCAATCCATGGACTTTGAATCAAATCTCTGAACCATCCATTTACTCTGTTGTGCTACTAAGAGACGGATGTGACAGGATCCCTGAGCAAGCAGCACCTGCTAGGGCAGCAAGCATCCGATGAAGTTCCTGTGTCAGCACATGTAGAAAATTGCCTACTAGTAACAAGTGCATCGCTATTGGGAACAGGTGCATCGCGACTAGTAGCTAGAAGCTACTAGTAACAAGTCTTCCAATAGATTGGTTTGTTGCAGGAATTGCTGCCATGTTGATGCGAGGCAAGCGTCCTCATTTGTTCCAGGGAAGGCCTTACATTCTGAAAAGCACAACAAAAAGCCACGAAAGTCAAAGAAGCTGCTGAAACTGCCCAAGCTTGAAATCTGTATCAACATCAGGACGTTATACAAAATGTATCACAGCAAGAAAAGAATGTGGAAAAGCTCTAAAGTTGCTTGCAAGACAAACCTTTGCACAAGAGACTGAAGACAAATGGGCTCGGAGAACTGGAGCAACCCCAAGGTAGGCTGCAGTGAAAAGGCCCTGAATCAGACTCGGCGCGCGACATGTATCCTTAAGCACTTGAGACATCTTGAGACTGGCCTCGCGGGTGCAGGTGGGAAAGCATCCCCTCAAAACCGTTGATGGCGGAAGGCTTCTTGCCTGCGTTGAGCCATCGGAGCAAAACTGTTTTGTGTACTAGCTCCTCCTGCAAGATTGAGCAGTTACTTCGCAAAAGACCGAGCAGTACCGAAATAGGATGACAATATGCCGTCTGATTTCTGCATTGACTGAGCCAAAGGCATTCTGCAGAGCTGAACCTCCCTTGAGCTGCTGTTGGGTCATCACCAGCTCAAGTGGGGTAGCCATCACACCAGATGCAAAGCCCGCAAGGAATCCTGAAAGTTTCCATAACAATCAAAAACAAGTAACACCTGTTGTAAAGATTTCTTTCAATCAAATGGTTGCAACCAGTTCGCCTGTGCACACTTTCTCCGCGTCTGTCAGCTCACGATGCTCACCACAAAGAACCACCTTCTTCAAGGCCCCTGCTGTCGCAAATTGGAAGCTGGTACCGGCTGCAACATTTGCACAATTGGCCACATATCCACGGTACAAGATTCGTGGATTCCACGTGAGAGGCAGTCTTTGCTGCCTTGCATTTTTCAAGTAGTATGCCCACTGGATGCAACTGATATCTACGATGCCAGCAGTGATGCCAACCAAGGCATTTTCACTCTCCGATAAGCTGTGCGTCATGGCGCAAAAAAATTGGGGAATGGAAACAAATTCAAAGCTTGAGACCTGGTCGGCAGTCATGTGCACAAGTTGAACGATCAACATTCAAATCAACAAAAGCAAATTACCACAGGCAAATGACACAGTTTCCAAGTACAGTGCAACCATTCACCACCGCAGGTTTTCCATCACATACGCTCATGGCGACAAAGGATGGAATGGCACACGAGTTGACACACTAAAACAAACCAACCTATTAATAGGTTCTTTGACAAAGTGGCAAAAAAGATCAGTCTCGGTGTGAAGCTTCAGTCATGCAATTGTACATGATGGATGCCACATGCAGTGAAATCCCAGTAATCTAGCCCGATGGCTGCTGAAAGATAGCCTCCATTTGTAAGTGCACAGTATATATTCAACACAAACACCAACAACAAACATTATTGCCTTACATGTCTTTTCATACAATGTTTCGTCTCGCCCAGCGGCAAATGCAACCCAGCATTGGCGGCCAACACATGCACCCTCGGCTCTCCAAGAACATAATGAACAAACTCTCAAAGCCCGAACTGACTCCAGGCAAATTGAATTGTTGAAGTGTTTTAAAAGGGTATACGGTATACAGTATACATGAGTTCTTAGGAAAAAATAAATGATCGGCACCTGCCAGCCAACCCCAACCCAACCCTTAACAATTTGAGTCTTAATCACTCGAACAAACCATACTGGATTACCAAGCCTGTCAACTTGACCAGTGAGAGTGACCCATGAGAAGTCCCACCAAGAGTTGAACACAGAAAAGTTACCCAGCTGCTCCAAGTTATTTGCTCATTGTTTTTGCGCACGCAACCAACTTATACAAATATTCCCAACAAACGCACAGTCATTTTTTCGCGTTTCCAACGCGAAGTGGTTTCTTTTGCAAACTTGCCTATTGTCCAATAGTTGTGCTGTCGCATGTCTCTGCAAAGTTGTTGAATGACAGCCTCGTGGTCCAGATTGTCCGCACAAATTCCATCGTGCTTTAAATCAAGGACTGGGTGTTTTTCGACCCCAAATTGGTCTTTTTCAACCTCAAGTGTTTTTTCAACTCCAAAAAGGTTTCTTTTCAACCTCAAGTTCGAAAAAAAAACCATGTGAGAGCGTCCAAGAACTTTTTTTCAGCCCCAAAAGGTTTTTTGATTTGATAAGTCTTTTTTAACCCTCGACACATTTTTTTTGAGCTGCAAGGTTTTGTTCGACCTCAAAAAAAAGGTATTTTGAACCCCAAGGAAAAGAGAGAGACGCGAACGAAAAGAGAGAGCGAGAAAGGCAAGAAAATTTGCAGTCAAAGGGTTGTGTGTGATACTTGTTCGAGAACCTGGCCAATGGGTCAGGCATTCTGTAATTTAATGGCCAAGGTTCGGTCATCTAGTAGTAAAAAGAACTTGCGGGGCATGAATTCTGTAGTCCCCTATGTTGGGGAAACTGTTTTGTAGCACAGAATGACCTATCCTAGGTCGAACATGCAAATCTGAACGGGGATGATAGAGCACCATTGAATTTTGCATTTTTTGTGGCCATAAGATTCTTTTTTTGGAGTTGATCTCCGTGAACTAATGTTTTGTGGATGCCCGTCCGAGGCTATCTGGTCGCAATTTGGGCGTTAACACAGTGGACTCCGTACAAGGAACTGTTGGCAAGGAAGTGGGGGACAGGGGGCTTGGCACAGGGAACTGGGGGCAGGGAACTGGGGGCAGCAAACTGGGGACAGGAACTGGGGACAGGGAAGTGGGGACAGGGAAGTGGGGACAGGGAATTGGGGGCAGGGAAGTGGGAACAGGGAACTGGGACAGGGAACTTGGGCCAGGGAACTGGGACAGGCAACTTGGGACAGGGAACTGGGGACAGGGAACTGGGGACAGGGAACTGGGACAGGGAACTGGGCCCAGGGGACCTTCGTAGGGGCTTAAGGGGGGGCTCAAGCCCCCTTCGAAGGGGGCTTAAGGGGGGCTTAAGGGGGGGCTTGAAGGGGGGGCTTAAGGTCTGGACCACTGGAGGCTCAGATATACCTTGAAAAATGGGTGCGAGTACCTGTTTCTAAGTCGGGTCATGTCCCAGGCTTCATCCGACCTAAAGTACGGTACGTACTTGAAGTCGGGTCCAGGTTGAAAAGAGACCAAAACTGCTCTACCAGTTCAACATGCTTGGTCCACATCGCACCAAAGCACGGTTGAACAAACCGTCCTGGACACCAAAGAAGAGCGTTCCAACACCACCGTGGTAAGTCGTGGGTGGTTGGTTGGGCGCACTGGACTGATCACAAGGGAGAATGGTCACACGTCATTGTCTAAACAGGACTGGTCACACGACACTGTCCGACGAAGTCGCTGGTCACACAAGGGAAGGCTGAGGCAAGCAGAACTGGGAACTGGTGGGTTCGGAGAAGGCCAAGTTGGATTAAACAGCAGGAGGGGCAAGGTGAGGCAGTCAGAACTGGGAACTGATGAAGTGGGCCTGGGGAAGGCCCTGAAAACTTAAAAGTTGGCTGGTGGCCAAACTGGTGGCAAGTCAGTCTGCATTGGTCCTGGTCGGACTTCGCTGTCTCCAGGGGTCTCTGGGCAGACTTCTGTCGGGGAAAGTTTGTGAAACAATGGTGGTGGACAAAAATTGTCAAAGAATCGCGGGCGTATTGTGGGCACGCCCTGCCCCCCTTCGGTATGCGACAGGAACACGGGAGAGCAATTCCGAAATCCGGCGATGCGATGCCCGTTCCATGGAATCGTGCAGAAAGAGGGAATGGTGCACCTATGTCTGACGGCGAATCATCTTAAATGATTGTACGGCGATCTTGCCTCAAACTGGTGAATGAAGGAATGAGAAACCGGCGCGCGTAAACGCACCTTGCCAGTCGAAGAACGCACCAACCAACCAACCAACCAACCAACCAACCAAGCAACCAAGCAACCAAGCAACCAAGCAACCAAGCAACCAAGCAACCAAGCAACCAAGCAACCAAGCAACCAA